CCATTTCGGACAATACGTACCACCGGTGGTCGTACGCTTTGCGAAGTTTTTATATTATATTTTTCAAGTCCATGGTTAAACATTTTGGGCAGACTGAATAAACTTCTGTATATGTACCTTGGCTACTTTTTGAAAGATTGACAGTTCACAGCATAGGACTTATTAGTAGCCAGGAAATATTGCGCAAACTCTATAATGCGAAATATGCCTTAGTCCGAAATGGCAGGCATCTGAAATCGGCTTTGTCGTGAATGTGTTAAAGGAAGCAGTGTTTAATATAGTCCGTTAAAGCGAAGGTGATCATGTGTTATGCTTGTATTCTAGCATTACGGGTAAATAGTCTGCGGAGAGATGGTACAGTGGACCCTTTGGAGGATAGTGGAGATACTGATGTTGACGGGCCTGTTTTCTTTGGCGACTCTGATAATGGTTATTGCTTCTCGCTCACATTTAGGTAAGTGTGCTAAAATTTTTTATTCAATTTCATCACTGCGTGTCTTACTTTTTGTTTAGATTACGTGATTCTAAAGCACGCGGTTTTCTTCGATTGTATTCTTTCATCGTGGTTAGCAACGACATGACGTACATCATTAATAATTATGAATTTTTTCTACAAGCATTAACAGCTGTGAAAGAAAAATTGCAGGTAAGATTGATTTTTATTTGGTAATTCAGTTGTACTAATGCTCGTTATCATTTCTTGCTACGCATAATATTTTGGAAGTTATGGCTTTCTGTACATCTTTTTTCAAGAGTATGGCAGCAGCAATATTCGAAAGCGAAATGGATCAAGAAGATGCGATGAGACCACAATACGCAAGTATGGCCGGTCGCTTACCGACGGGTTGGTTTAGGCCCAGTGACAGAAATGTAAATTCTCATAAATCGTGATTTTGGCTGCAAATTGGTATCAGTTCAAACATTTTTGTAGGGAAGACGGGTAGCAATTGATACTAAGCGAAATCTACAAACTATAACCGGGGATGACACTATTTGGAACCGATTGCACAGGTACGTTTCCACCTCACCATAGCGCATTCAGCATTCTTTCGCTATATTCTTATCTTTCTTCCATTCTATCAGTTTTCCTGTTTTTTT